TAAAAAATATCCAACTTCCAACTGCTATTTTCAACCAGTTCGAAGTTACAATGTCCACGTTTACATGCACACCGTATTCTGTATAGTAACTCATATTCCGCTTAAGGTCTTATTCGGGATAAGCTGTTTACTTGATATCCCGCTCGCGAGTATCCCTGTAGCCATGAATAAACAGAATATTCCTAATTTAAATTCATATCGGTTAAATGGAATAGTAACTGAAATATGGAGGCCTATAACCTCCACATGAAGCGTAATATAATATTAACTTCTGCAGAATTATGCATTTCTTGCAGTAAAATTATAGATCAAATGTTAATTTTGTCTCGGGAACAGGAGTGGGGAAATATGATTTCTTTCTTTCAGCAGCTCTTGAGAAAATGTGAATGTGCCTATAATGTGTTGTCTTTGACACTTATGCAAACAGACAGTATTTCAACCGCATAAACAACCTGGTCTCAGAGCATTTCGTATTATTCTGTACGTAACCCAGGACACTCCATTTCGTATGATATGTTACGAATTTGCAAAACGTATGATATGTTACGTATTCTAGCTAGGTGGCTAGCTGGCTAATGTTAGCTAGGCAATGGGTTAAGTTAGGTTAAAAGGTTAGCTAAAAGGGTTAGGGGAAGGGTTAGCTAAAAGGGTTCGGGGAAGGGTTAGCTAACATGCTAAGTAGTTGCAAAGTAGTATGTAGTTGAAAAGTTGCTAATTAGCTAAAATGCTAAAGTTGTCTGTGATGAGATTCAAAACAGACAACTTTACATTCTATCAATGTAAGACATTATTCTGGTGAGCACTACTTTATTTAGTCTCAGAGGGCAACAAGTTATGACAGAAGGGAAGCTGCATGTATCCAACTATAGTTGACAAACAATGGCCTACCAAATGTTGGTAATGGAGCGGAAAATTTAGGAAAACTAGACTCCCTGCAGACCTGTCATCTTTTCACTCCCTCCTCTCTACATTTTATTCCTCTGTTTCTGCTGCTAAAGCCACTTTCTACCACTCTTCATTTCAAGCCTCTAACCCTAGGAAGCTCTTTGCCACCTCCTCCCTGCTGAATCCTCCTCCTCCTCCCCCTCCCTCCTCCCTCTCTGTGGATGACTTCGTCAACCATTTTGAAAAGAAGGTTGATGACATCCGATCCTCATTTATTAAGTCAAATGACACCGCTGGTCCTGCTCACACTGCCCTACCCTATGCTTTGACTTCTTTCCCCCCTCTCTCTCCAGATGAAATCTTGCGACTTGTGACAGCCGGCCGCCCAACAACCTGCCCGCTTGACCCTATCCCCTCCTCTCTTCTCCAGACCATTTCCGGAGACCTTCCTTACCTCACCTCGCTCATCAACTCATCCTTGACCGCTGGCTATGTCCCTTCCGTCTTCAAGAGAGCGAGAGTTGCACCCCTCCTCAGAAAACCTACACTCGATCCCTCCGATGTCAACAACTACAGACCAGTATCCCTTCTTTCTTTTCTCTCAAACTCTTGAGCGTGCCGTCTCTAGCCAACAATCCTGCTATCTCTCTCAGAATGACCTTCTTGATCCAAACCAGTCAGGTTTCAAGACTGGTCATTCAACTGAGACTGCTCTTCTCTGTGTCACGGAGGCTCTCCGCACTGCCAAAGCTAACTCTCTCTCCTCTGCTCTTATCCTTCTAGACCTATCTGCTGCCTTTGATACTGTGAACCATCAGATCCTCCTCTCCACCCTCTCCGAGTTGGGCATCTCCGGCGCTACTCACTCTTGGATTGCGTCCTACCTGACAGGTCGCTCCTATCAGGTGGTGTGGCGAGAATCTGTCTCCGTACCACTTGCTCTCACCACTGGTGTCCCCCAGGGCTCAGTTCTAGGCCCTCTCCTATTCTCTCTATACACCAAGTCACTTGGCTCTGTCATATCCTCACATGGTCTCTCCTATCATTGCCACGCAGACGACACACAATACATTTTCTCCTTTCCCCCTTCTGATAACCAGGTGGCGAATCGCATCTCTGCATGTCTGGCAGACATATCAGTGTGGATGTCGGATCACCACCTCAAGCTGAACCTCGGCAAGACAGAGCTGCTCTTCCTCCCGGGGAAGGACTGCCCGCTCCATGATCTCGCCATCACGGTTGACAACTCCATTGTGTCCTCCTCCCAGAGTGCAAAGAACCTTGGCGTGACCCTGGACAACAACCTGTCGTTCGCCGCTAACATCAAAGCGGTGACCCGATCCTGCAGGTTCATGCTCTACAACATTCGCAGAGTACGACCCTACCTTACACAGAAAGCGGCACAGGTCCTAATCCAGGCACTTGTCATCTCCCGTCTGGATTACTGCAACTCGCTGTTGGCTGGGCTCCCTTCCTGTGCCATTAAACCCCTACAACTTATCCAGAACGCTGCAGCCCGTCTGGTGTTCAACCTTCCCAAGTTCTCTCATGTCACCCCGCTCCTCCGCACACTCCACTGGCTTCCTGTTGAAGCTCGCATCTACTACATTTACATTTAACATTTTAGTCATTTAGCAGACGCTCTTATCCAGAGCGACTTACAGTTAGTGAGTGCATACATTTTCATACTGGCCCCTGTGGGAAACGAACCCACAACCCTGGCGTTGCAAGCGCCATGTTCTACCAACTGAGCTACAGGGGACCTGTACTACAAAACCATGGTGCTTGCCTACGGAGCTGTGAGGGGAACGGCACCTCCCTTACCTTCAGGCTTTGATCAGACCCTACACCTAAACGAGGGTACTACGTTCATCCACCTCTGGCCTGCTAGCCCCCCTACCTCTATGGAAGCACAGTTCCCGCTCAGCCCAGTCAAAGCTATTCGCTGCTCTGGCACCCCAATGGTGGAACAAGCTCCCCCACGATGCCAGGACAGCGGAGTCACTGACCCCCTTCCGGAGACACTTGAAACCCTACCTCTTTTAAGGAATACCTGGAATAGTATAACAGTAATCCTTCTACTTCCCCCTCCCCCAGTGGTGGTTGTCCCACTGGCTATCCTAAATTGAATGCACCAATTAGTAAGTCGCTTTGGATAAGAGCGTCTGCTAAATTACTTAAATGTTAAAAAATTATATGGCCTACCAAATGTCAGAAATTATTAGCAGAAACTTGTCTAAATTAGGGGTGAAAGTAGCCAGTAGGCTATAAAGTCCAGTATGGAGTATCAGCAAAATAAATTATTTTGGAGGATCGAACTGCGCAGGTAGCCTACTTTTTGAAGTCATTTGTTTGACAATCAGATGACAACATCCTCACACAACATCCATGATATGCGAAACTGAGCCTGTGCAGACCGCGAAAAACAACAGTAAACGGGATAATATGTTTACATGACACAGTATCCCGTCTAAGATCAGCATATCACAGGCATCTTATCCGGGTTTAATAACTAATCAAAAGGGATCCATCGCACTCTCCCAGAAGCTTGGCTGGTGCGTAAAACCCACAAATGTATCCGGGTTTCTCATAACTGGGATACAAGCCTTTTCTGATTATTGTAAAGGGGATATGATGTTTTTTTAGATGCGTCAACTCAAAAACTGAATACTTGAGTATCCCGAATAATAATGGGATATTGGTGCGCATGTAAACATTGCCATTTCTTAAAGTCTTTTACAGTGAATGAGACCCATCAGAAAGAATATAACCTAATCAAAAAACATGGTATTTTAGATTTATAGTCAAAATATTCATTAGGAATTAGCCTTTAGTAAATGGACAACAGGGAAACAACAAAATAAACCAAACTGTTTTTAATGGTTAAAAAATGTAATGCACACAAAGTATAGTGAATTGTTAAATGCACATATCAGAAATGTGGGAGGCTATATTTGTAAGTAGTAGGCTTGAATGGCTTTAGGTGACCGTTTACAGTCCGTGCAGGTGTGAGTCCAGACAGGATTAGATAAGTGCTTTCTCGTGCACACAGTAATGTAACAATACACTTATTATGATGATGATGTGGCTGTTCAGGCAGGCTGGTTTGGGCTGATTCTCTGTTGCTTTTGTGGTGAAAGGGACTCCGGGTTGAGTAAGGGAATCTAGGTCACTAGAGACTGGATGGAGGTGGGCGTTTCAAACATAAGGGCCACTTACTGTAATCTGTGAGGGTCGTGCGACAGGGGTGTTGGCAGGGGTTATGGTGATGCTACTGGTGATCTTACTGCCGCCTTTGATGTGGCAGCCATTGGTCAGTACCGGTGTTATTGGTTCCTGTCCGGGGGTGTGGTACGGTCCCCCAGACTGGCTCTGGGTTATACCATTTATAGACTGGATATATGGGCTCCCAAGATGGATGTGGATCTTGTTGTCCTCTGTGGTGATGACGCTGGGACCAGTGCTGTTAGACCTCTGGAGCTGCCAGCCGTTCCGCCTCTCCGGGCTCACATGGAACATGGCTTGACCTATGACCTCAGTGGATTCGAGCGATCCAGTACTGACTGTTACCATCTGGATGGGAGAGCCGGTGTGGTCAGGCGACACTGTTCTGGAGTAGTCTGGGGACTTTACAGAGATGGGGGTCATGGTGAGAGGGGAGAGGGCTTTGTCTGGGCTGCCAAACCTCTCTGGGGGCGGGGAGCTCTTTGTTCTGGCCACTGGGGAGATTGCAGCGTTTGGGATGATGGTGATTCTCTGTTTTGGTGGGGCTCCACTGGTGGGGATGACGGCGGTGCTGGTATAGGATGTGGCATTGTCGGCGGTGGGGCTGCTGATCTCCAGTGTGGCCGTGTTGAGCCCATGGTCTGGCGTTACCTTGATGTGTAAGGGCTGCCCTGGCGTGTGTGCAAGCATCACATCTCCTTTCTGGTCAAAGTTACCCTTTAACAATTTGCTGTTAATTGGATGTTGATTGTCCTTGCCATTGGGTGAAAGTATGCTGAATCGCCTCACATTATTGTTTTGGTGGTTCAAGCTTTCAATGCTTGTTAACAGAGGCGAGTTGCACTTGTTAAGGACAAGATCCTCGTTTTGATTTGGGTCCTCTCCATCGATCACCTCATACGATTTACCGCTCAGCGCCAGCGGAGCCGGGCTCCTGTAGTCCGGTGGCAGGGTGTCTGCGGGCTCTGTCTGCACCTCCTTGGTGGACAGGTGGAGGTCTGAGAAGCGTCGGCCAGTTATGCCGGGCCGGAGGCTCTTGCTGAATCGCCGGTACCTGTCCAGCTCATGGGTCAGTCCCTCCATCTCCCTGGCCAGCTCCCTGTTCCTGACCTCCTGCTGGGTCAGCCTCTTCTGCAGGGTGGAGCTGTCCATTTGCATGTGACAGATGGACTCCTCTGTTCCCATCAGCCACTGGACCTTCTCCTTGAGAGCCTCCACCTCCCTTTTGAGGAGGACAGACTTGACCTGCTCCTCCTGGAGTCGCCTGAGGAGGAGGTGCTCCTGGTTTTTCACCTCCTTCTCTGCCAGCTGGTACTTAGAGAGTTCCTTCCTGGACTCCTCCAGCTCCACTGTCAGGGCCCTGGCTCTCTCCTGCTCCTTGGACCACCTCCTCTCCAGGGACTCAAAGTCCTCCTCTGCCTTCATCAGCTCACCCTCCACCACTCCCTTCTGCATGAGTCTCCTGCTCAGTCTGTCTACCTCCTGGGTGAGTTCTTTGACTTTGTTCTCTTCTTGTTGGTAGCAGTGGTTAGTGTTGTCCAGCAGGGGGCTCTTGACTTCTCGACAGAACTCCCCGTCTTTGACCTCCAGGACCTGAATCCTCTTTTTCATGGCGCTAACTTTGCTCTGCAGATCCCCGCTCCTATCCTCCTCTGCCCTCAGCCTCACCCGCAGCTCGTCCCGCTCTTTCACAACGCTCTGAATCCTCTCCTCCAGCTCTGCTTTAGACCTCAGCACCTTGCGGCTCTCCTCAATGAGTTTCTCTGTGGCTGTCGACACGCTGTCGCGCTCAGCCTGCAGTTTCCCATCCTTCTTCTCCTGGAGTTTCTCCTCTGTTTGCCTGAATCTCTCGGCCATGTTCTTCCTCTCTTCAACCAGCACCACTGTGAGTGTTCTCAACTTGGCAAAGTCCAGTCTCAACGCCCCCTCTGATCTTTCCAGCTGGCCCTCGATGACTTCCAGTTCCATCACCCGCACCTTGAGGGTATCCAGCTCTCCAGACAGCTGCTTGGTGCTGGCCCTCTCCTTCTCCAGGCTGCCCTTCAGAGCGCTGCACTCCTGCTTGCTTTTTCCCAGAGCCTCCTCCAGTCTGTCCAGCTCACTGATCCGATCATTCAACTTGTCCACCTCGGCCTTCAGGCTTCGGCTCTGGCTGGACTCCCTCCCCAGTTTGCGGTCCAGGTCCCGGCATTGGTCTCCCATGCGGATCAGTTCCTCGTCCTTTCCTTCCATCTCCACCACCCTCCTCCTCAGCTGTTCCACTTCTGAGAGCAAGCCAGGGGTTGTTGCACACCCTTCTCCCCTGTGGCTTAGCCTGTCCCTCAGCTCCTGCAGTTCCTCCTCTGCCCTCTGGAGGGTGCTCCTGGTTCCCTCCAGCTCATCCAGCTGTCGGCTGAGGGCGGCCAACTGCTGCCGCAGCTGTCGGTTCTGGGTGTCCTCATTGGCCAGTTTGGCCATCATGGCTTCCTGGTTGAGGCGGAAGTGAGAAGCTTGTTCGAGTAACTCTGCTTCCAAGCGAATGACGTTAAGCTCCCCCTCCTTTGCCCTGGAATGGGTGGAGTTGAGCTCCTGTTGGGCGTGGTCGACAATGTCCGTCAGTTCCTGGACACGTTTGCTCTGCTGTGAAAGCTGATCTGTCAGGCGCTGCTGCTCGTCAACGACCAACAATGCAAAATACTTGAGTTTAGTCAGCTCTTCCTTTAAAGCAGAGACCTCTATCTCGCTCTTCTCCTCCTTTCTTTCACAGTAGGTTTTCTCCTGGATGAGCAGCAACTTCAGCCTGTAGAAGAGGGAGACAAAGAAAATGTAATTTATATTGAAAGGTGTGGTTTAACTTAGTGATGTAGGCTAACATATATTTAAAAGTCTACAACAACTACACTTCTGTTCAATGTTTACGAGCCTTTACATTCAATCAAATCAAGACATGCAATGGCTGCCTGCATTTGCCTCTCATCTGAATGCAATGTTTTCCAATGTGGAAGTCCCCCACACGCTCTTCCCTCTGTCTACTACAGTACACTGCTGAGCTGGTGAGCAAACGTTCAGACAGGAAATGTACCATGTCCATGACGGAGACATAATTTCCTCCCTGTTCCCTGGCCCTCCGTGCTCTCTCTAGGAACAAACTCTGTTCCTTCACCTCCATGTACTGTACTGAACCGCGTGTTGTCCATCTCCTTTTCCTCCAGTCTCCATGTCCCTGTCCCTCTGGTGTTTGCGAGGATGTTTGACTGGCATCACAGATGGTGCTTTGTCAGGGAGCAGTTGGTTAATTAAAGGGGTTCCTCTACCCCTTAGTACCCTCCCTACTGCGGGCCCTCCTGCCCGTGTACCTACTCTGATAGGAATTCCCCCTTGTTCCACAGGCAATTACAGACTGGCAACATTTACATAGTCCTCCAGATTTCATCATACACACCAGCATAAACATGTTGGAAAACACACACTGACATTAGCACGCACAAAGCTGATGTAAGTTTACATTATTTTGACATTAATTTGATATTCATTGTTTGTGTTGTAAAGATGTGTTCCAATTTATAGCCTAGTGACTGATGCCTATAGGGTTTCTGTAGGGCAGGGCTAGCGTGCCGAGTTACAGAAAACATCAAAAACACTCAATGATGGAAGGTCTTGCATTGAGCTTGATGACTGTCAGTACTCAATGGGAATTTTCTTACACACACACAGGCCCAAAACACAGCCTAATCCCAATTCTGGACAAACTGGTCATAAAGTTGACCCTGCATTTTGCATGCTTACAGCATTCCTTCATTGAAAAACTGAATGCTGTGTTCAAATAGTGCTATTTCACTTAATAAGTTTCAACTTGGCACATCTTCTCACTGAAAATTCCCAACTGATTTATCAGCAACATGGTTCAGAGTGCTGTAAAATCCATGCCTGGAGCGTTGTGGGAAATGTGAACTGAGTTTGGGATTAGCTCATTGTTCTACCCGTAAATGTGATTAGTAATAGTAACCATACTCAACATTTTGTGTGTCTGTGTGTGAATATGTAGGCTAATGTAGCCTATAATTTCTAGTAATATAAATTAAGAGGAATATTTGATCATGATTTGGCAGCCTTATTACTGTTACCTTTACCTGCTTTTAGATGTTAGGCTAACTGAAGGATGTATTCTTTTCTAGACTTCTCTGATAAATCAATAAATGTTGTTGAGGCACGTTATCCAAATAGACTTATGGATGCAATTTAATTTGAGTGTTTGCCAAATACTTTAAGCCTAATTTAGCATTTTATCATTATTTTGTGTCATAACTTTAGGCTATGTGTAGGCTAATAAGAGCAGACCTAAATCCATCCCTGTATAGCTAAATAATTACTTGCAATTTTAGGAGTAATTTGCAGAACCTAAAAGTAGGCTAAACCATTTCACCCACTCATACACACTAAAGGGACTTCTATAGCGTTTTCCTTAGTTCATCTGGGTTTGTTCCTACCTGATCTGTACGTCCGTAAAGTCTCGGATCAAATCCTATTCCCTCCGCTCACCCATCTCTCCTTCCAGGCGTTCCTAGCAATGTGGGCATTCCAGGCAGAAAACTAACATTATGAGAAGTGTTCTCCACACACTCCCAGCCAGACAGCACAGCCCAACAGCACATTACATCATCACAAGACCTTATACGGGGCTCTGACAGCCTCTAGTGTATGTTGTGTGTGTGTGTGAACGCATTTTGAAAAATGTGTGTTTGTCATGTTTGCTACTTTTTGAACTCTGTGTTCAAACATATATTTATGTGTGTTGGATATCAGCCCATTCCAGATGAGGTCATGTTGCAGCCATGCCAGAGGCTGAAGGGAAGGACAGAGGAAGAGATAGAAAGATAGACGAGGGACCTCACACACCATCTCAGTTCTAACCAGTTACTTGGCAGCACTCACATTAGTGTACAATAAGGACAGTGCTGTGTGTGTGGAGCCACACGTTGGTGCTAGCCGCCGAGCATGATAACCTGACTGAGAGATGACATCGTAGGTCTGCAATCACATCCACGTGTATATAGGTATGGTCTCTCTCTTTCTCTCTCACCCTCTTTCTGATATATGGGACAGATGCATTGAGGCCTATGGCAGCTCTAATCCGTATAAGGTGTTCTATAGGTGTACAGAAATGCTGTCTCCTCAGGAACACTGGCTAAGGAACAACACGCACGTGCGCAAAAAATACACTGTGCGCACACACACACACGGTCACATGTACTCAAAAACACATACGCTTACATACACTGAGTGTACAAAACATTAGGAACACCTTCTGTGTCATGGAAAGGTGTTCCTAATGTTTTGTACACTCTGTTGTATACTGACACACACACACACACACACACACACACACACGTACTCAAACACACATACGCTTACATATACTCACACACACACATTATCTCCCCCTCATTCACTCACACAGAAAGATGCATTTGGAGCTCTCTGTTTCTCATGGGAACTGTTGCTCTAGAGGAGCACTGCTCAATCTACTCTGAGGAGGAAATATATGTTTTTCAAGGGAGAAAGCCTCAAGTCCCCAATTAAGGGTGAAATATGTCCCCTGTGACATGCCGTCATCACACAAGCATTTCCAAAACAGCCTGAAGGCCCACAGTTCTCTGGAAACTGTTGGTGAGTGTGTATGTATGCAAATTAGTCAACATAGGATTAAAACTCTGGTCAATGGCCACACACACACACACACAGGAGGAAGTCGCTCATGTGACATCCATTAAACCTGGACCAATCTGATTAGCAGCATGTGGTTCCAATTCCAGTATGTGTAGATCCTGCAGCTACAGCACTGTAATAGCCATGATGCTTTCAGGTAGTAGTTTACTCTGAAGGCAGGAACTACTGGATGTTGTGTTACTACTGTTTAACTAGAGCCGGACGTTTTTATTTATTTTTTATAACCTGTTGTGGTAACTTGGTCTGGACCTTTTAGCCTAGGCATTTACCTGGTCCCTAACTATGAGTACTGCATAATCAATGATTTGGAAACTGAATGAATGTGGTGTGGATCAGACAGTGCTCCTCATTCAATCCACAGTCCTGTAATACTTCAGGAATACATCGTTCCTTCCTTGACTCCCTTGAAGTAGCCTGATCGTGACACATAAAAATCTAGGAAGGGAGGAAGAAGGAAGGAAGGATGTATTTTTTAAAAAGTATTCAGAGGACCACTAACTCTAAGCACAGGGTTTAATGGGGTCCTGTTTCCCTTCAAGGAGGGGCTTGCTGCCTCATTGGCTGTCCACAATTACACGGATGATTGGATCCCTCAAAGGCATTTCCAGGAAAGCCCTCAAACATGGCTTCCTCGTAATAGGCCTGTTATGAGAAGAGCTCTCTCTCTCTCGCGCGCGCTCTCTCTCTCTCGCCTTCTCTCCACTGAGAGGTATAATTTCTAGGAAGGCCGAACAGATATGCACAGTGAACTACTGTTCACTAGTTATCGTACACTGCTACACTACCATAGCTGCATGTTGTGCACCCTATTCAACATAATACTAGAACTCAAGCAATTGGACAGAATGGGTTTTAAATGGGTTTTTATGAAATCAATAGATGTTTGTGACAATGCAGTTGCTGTTTGCAATTATCTGTATGTACGTCTCTTATGTCCCTGCCAGTGGTAGTAGGCCTTAGTGAGCAGTGTGTGCGTGTGCATCTGGGGTTTTACTCCCATCAGTGTTGAGCCAGACGAGGCCTCCCTGCTGTTCTAAGTGCCTCTAATCTGCTCTTTCTCTAATAAGAACCGACTCTCCATCGAGTCATGCCAAACTTCTCCAGAGGAGTTCAGTTGTGATTCATAACTGATCTGTTTTTGTGACAAAACTATTTAGTGGATTGGGGCTGTGTACTTTGAGTGTGGCACACATTCCAGAGCCTGTTCTCAGAGTCCTCTGGGACTGCCGTATCCACTTATTTTCCCCTCTCAATGGTACTATAGCAGACCATGAATGAGCCCAGCAGTTCAGACTATGGATGCACATATTTTGAATTTGTTGCCTGAATCAAATCATTAACCAATATTTTAGGCCATACTAGTATAATTCTGAATGAACGCAGCAGTTTAGACCGTACCAACAGTGAATTTGCAGTGCAAGATCCCCACGTCCCTCACACATTACTGGCTGGGCCGATGGATACATGACCATGTTGGACGGACAGAACAGCTGGCTGTTTCCACGACAACTCGGCCAAGTTCACACTGTCCAGTCCCTCGGGATGACCAAGCAAAACATTTTCTTTGGGATATCTAACCCAGCACTGATTTAAAAGGGGGAAATCCTTTCTCGCACTCACTGTCTCTCTTTCCATCACCCTTGGGGACTTGCTTGGAGTGGCCATCTGTTATGTGATGTTGCCACAAGACTTCCTTACTTTCAGAGGGTTTTGTTGAGAAGATCATCTGATCAATAAATATCATACATTTGGGGATGGGCGTTTGAGAACATGAAAGAGTTGGGGACGTTTGAGGTGTTAGTGAGTCCTAAATAATGCATGTGTGTGTGTGCTTGCCGCGCTGTGTAAAAAAAATAAAAAAGACAGTCTCCTGATGTACTGGCCTGTCTCCTGGTAGCGCCTCCATGCTCTGGACACTACGCTGACAGACACAGCAAACCTTCTTGCCACAGCTCGCATTGATGTGCCATCCTGGATGAGCTGCACTACCTGAGCCACTTGTGTGGGTTGTAGACTCCGTCTCATGCTACCACTAGTGTGAAAGCACCGCCAGCATTCAAAAGTGACCAAAACATCAGCCAGGAAGCATAGTAACTGAGAAGTGGTCTGTGGTCACCACCTGCAGAACCACTTCTTTATTGGGGGTGTCTTGCTAATTGCCTATAATTTCCACCTGTTGTCTATTCCATTTGCACAACAGCATGTGAAATGTATTGTCAATCAGTGTTGCTTCCTAAGTGGACAGTTTGATTTCACAGAAGTGTGATTGACTTGGAGTTACATTGTGTTGTTTAAGTGTTCCCTTTTATTTTTTTGAGCAGTGTACAGTGAGGGGAAAAAAGTATTTGATCCCCTGCTGATTTTGTACGTTTGCCCACTGACAATGCAATTATCAGTCTATCATTTTAATGGTAGGTTTATTTGAACAGTGAGAGACAGAATAACAACACAAAAACCCAGAAAAACGCATGTCTAAAATGTTATAAATTGATTTGCATTTTAATGAGGGAAATAAGTATTTGACCCCTCTACAAAACATGACTTAGTACTTGGTGGCAAAACCCTTGTTGGCAATCACAGAGGTCAGACGTTTCTTGTAGTTTGCCACCAGGTTTGCACACATCTCAGGAGGGATTTTGTCCCACTCCTCTTTGCAGATCTTCTCCAAGTCATTAAGGTTTCGAGCCTGACGTTTGGCAACTCAAACCTTCAGCTCCCTCCACAGATTTTCTATGGGATTAAGGTCTGGAGACTGGCTAGGCCACTCCTTTGTTGCCTTGGCCGTGTGTTTTGGGTCATTGTCATGCTGGAATACCCATCCACGACCCATTTTCAATGCACTGGCTGAGGGAAGGAGGTTCTCACCCAAGATTTGACGGTACATGGCGCCGTCCATCGTCCCTTTGATGCGGTGAAGTTGTCCTGTCCCCTTAGCAGAAAAACACCCCCAAAGCATAATGTTTCCACCTCCATGTTTGACGGTGGGGATGGTGTTCTTGGGGTCATAGGCAGCATTCCTCCTCCTCCAAACACGGCGAGTTGAGTTGATGCCAAAGAGCTCCATTTTGGTCTCATCTGACCACAACACTTTCACCCAGTTCTCCTCTGAATCATTCAGATGTTCATTGGCAAACTTCAGACGGCCCTGTATATGTGCTTTCTTGAGCAGGGGGAATTTGCGGGCACTGCAGGATTTCAGTCCTTCACGGCGTAGTGTGTTACCAATTGTTTTCTTGGTGACTATGGTCCCAGCTGCCTTGAGATCATTGACAAGATCCTCCCGTGTAGTTCTGGGCTGATTCCTCACCGTTCTCATGATCATTGCAACTCCACGAGGTGAGATCTTGCATGGAGCCCCAGGCCGAGGGAGATTGACAGTTATTTTGTGTTTTTTCCATTTGCGAATAATCGCACCAACTGTTGTCACCTTCTCACTAAGCTGCTTGGCGATGGTCTTGTAGCCCATTCCAGCCTTGTGTAGGTCTACAATCTTGTCCCTGACATCCTTGGAGAGCTCTTTGGTCTTGGCCATGGTGGAGAGTTTGGAATCTGATTGATTGCTTCTGTGGACAGGTGTCTTTTATACAGGTAACAAGCTGAGATTAGGAGCACTCCCTTTAAGAGTGTGCTCCTAATCTCAGCTCGTTACCTGTATAAAAGACACCTGGGAGCCAGAAATCTTTCTGTTTTGAGAGGGGGTCAAATACTTATTTCCCTTATTAAAATGCAAATCAATTTATAACATTTTTGACATGCATTTTTCTGGATTTTGTTGTTGTTATTCTGTCTCTCACTGTTCAAATAAGCCTACCATTACAATTATAGACTGATCATTTCTTTATCAGTGGGCAAATGTACAAAATCAGCAGGGGATCAAATACTTTTTTCCCTCACTGTATATATATTTGTGACTGCTCAACTAAAGAAATCTCAGTCGACCAACAGCCTATCGACCAAACAATCGACCAGTCGATTTAAAAAAAAATGTTAAACGGGGCCTATACCGGATACCCCGGTATGGTACAGAAACAGTATGAAAACCCTAAATCATGCTATAACACGCTGAGACTACATCATCCTTCATCTCTGTTTTATTTACCAGAGGATTGGGAACGAGGGAGGGAAGGGGGGACCGATATTAAGTGGATGGCTTTAAACCCCGAGTGGGTGGATTGAGAGAATGAGGAGTGCGATTAAAAGAGGAGAAGTGGGAGACATTCCTCACTGAGGCACTGTGTATTATGAGAGGGAGAGAGAGAGACGTAAGATCAGTGTCTTAATTACGCAGGAGATGGGATTGAGTGATGACTAAAGAAAGGGAGAGCGTGAGCGATAAAGGGCAGATTTAAATTTGAGATACGTTCCCTGCTCAGTGTCTCATCTCCTACTTCCAGTATTTCGTTTTTCCTCTCCAGCACTTACAACCATTTGTAGTCTCTTGTCAAAGCGTGGAGATTTTTCTCTTGCTGTAATGTTTTGAGAGCGTATCACAAACTCAATGTTCTCCCTGTCAAGCTCCAAGGAGTAGCCTGTGTGTGTATTTTTAGAAAGGGAGAGAAGCCGAGAGGATAAATAATGCAGTAAAGACAGTCATATTGAAGGAGTGTGTCTGATATCAAAGATAAACATGGCAGATAAAATGTAAGCATTGTGAGGCTTAGAAGTGCGTGTGTGATCTCACTCGTTTGAGAGAGAACACTCCAGGGGTCAAGTTACAGTTCAGAAATCTGAATTTTCAAAGCGCAGACCATCAAAAAAATCTGTGTTTAAAACCATAAGCATCCTACATTTTATATTGAATGTTTTTTTTTGTTTTTTTGCTTTGCTTTTTGCGTGCAATACATTAGTGCAACACATCCGGCAGAAAATATCTTCATTTTCATCAGATGATAACAGAACTGTAACTGTAGCAGCCACTCAAGTAAATGAGCTTACAAGGAAAAAACAAGGTATGTTTTGCGAAAACTATGTATGGTCATCATATTAATAATGTGAGGGGAAAAAAGTATTTGATCCCCTGCTGATTTTGTATGTTTGCCCACTGACAAAGAAATTATCAGTAAAAATTGTTATAAATTGATTTGCATTTTAATGAGGGAAATAAGTATTTGACCCCCTCTCAATCAGAAAGATTTCTGGCTCCCAGGTGTCTTTTATACAGTTAACGAGCTGAGATTAGGAGCACACTCTTAAAGGGAGTGCTCCTAATCTCAACTTGTTACCTGTATAAAAGACACCTGTCCACAGAAGCAATCAATCAATCAGATTCCAAACTCTCCACCATGGCCAAGACCAAAGAGCTCTCCAAGGATGTCAGGGACACGATTGTAGACCTACACAAGGCTGGAATTGGCTTATTCGCAAATGGAAGAAACACAAAAGAACTATCAATCTCCCTCGGCCTGGGGCTCCATGCAAAATCTCACCTCGTGGAGTTGCAATGATCATGAGAACGGTGAGGAATCAGCCCAGAACTACACGGGAGGATCTTGTCAATGATCTCAAGGCAACTGGCACCATAGTCACCAAGAAAACAATACGCCATGAAGAACTGAAATCCTGCAGCGCCCGCAAGGTCCCCCTGCTCAAGAAAGCACATATACAGGGCCGTCTGAAGTTTGTCAATGAACATCTGAATGATTCAGAGGAGAACTGGGTGAAAGTGTTGTGGTCAGATGAGACCAAAATGGAGCACTTTGGCATCAACTCAACTCGCCGTGTTTGGAGGAGGAGGAATGCTGCCTATGACCCCAAGAACACCATCCCCACCGTCAAACATGGAGGTGGAAACATTATGCTTTGGGGGTGTTTTTCTGCTAAGGGGACAGGACAACTTCACCGCATCAAAGGGACGATGGACGGGGCCATGTACCGTCAAATCTTGGGTGAGAACCTCCTCAGCCAGGGCATTGAAAATGGGTCGTGGATGGGTATTCCAGCATGACAATGACCCAAAACACACGGCCAAGGCAACAAAGGAGTGGCTCAAGAAGAAGCACATTAAGGTCCTGGAGTGGCCTAGCCAGTCTCCAGACCTTAATCCCATAGAAAATCTGTGGAGGGAGCTGAAGGTTCGAGTTGCCAAACGTCAGCCTCAACCTTAATGACTTGGAGAAGATCTGCAAAGAGGAGTGGGACAAAATCCCTCCTGAGATGTGTGCAAACCTGGTGGCCAACTACAAGAAACGTCTGACCTCTGATTGCCAACAAGGGTTTTGCCACCAAGTACTAAGTCATGTTTTGCAGAGGGGTCAAATACTTATTTCCCTCATTAAAATGCAAATCAATTTATAACATTTTTGACATGCGTTTTTCTGGATTTTTTTGTTGTTATTCTGTCTCTCACTGTTCAAATAAACCTACCATTAAAATTATAGACTGATCATTTCTTTGTCAGTGGGCAAACGTACAAAATCAGCAAGGATCAAATACTTTTTTCCCTCACTGTAGCTGGCTACATTCTTCCTAATGTTTTGCTTGAAGTTAATCTTGCATTTTACCAGAGAAAAGTAGTCTACACTGAGAAAATTACCGGAGAAAAGTCTACATATCAGTCAGTGTGCTGTCTGCTGATAGAATGCCCGTTCATGAATTCTTATGGGAGTGGAGAAGTGCAACTGAAGCACAAAATTAGTCTGCTGAGCAGAAATTACAATAAGAATCATTTTAGATCTGCGTTTACAAAACGCATCAAGATATTTCTTATGCGTTGTCTTTTTTGTGTGTGAAAAGGGCAGAATTCTGCATTAACATGACACCTGTCCTCTTGCCTGTCCTCATCTCACCCTCACCTAGAATCTCTTACTTGTCCTCATGCCTAGAATGAGCTCTTGGGAGAGAGGAAGCTAAAGTAGAGAAATTATAGACGGGTTAGCTGACAACGTCATGAAAACGATGGGTGCACTTCAAAGGGGCAGAAGGCCGTGTGTTGTTGTAATTCTGGATGGCCAGATAGCTAGCAACAATGACAAGAAACTGCCATGTAGGGAATCGTAAGTGGCTTGTTTGATCTTGATTCCATGTCTTGTTTTGAGGTGTTTTGGCTGATGTTACATTAATATTGCTAAAATGTGCTTGCTAGCTAGCGGTCGGTCGGTGTCACTGACCTCTCGCGGTCCTGCTCCAATAGACAGGTGAGGTCGTCACTACGCTGCATGAAGGCACGGTGCTGCTGGTCCTGCTCCTCCAGCCTGCAGAGGGCGCAACTGTGGGAACGCTCCACCAGCAGCAGCTGCTCGAGCATCCGCCTGTAGCTCTGGTTCCCAGTCTCCACCAGCCGGTCCAGCTAACACCGAGCGAGAGAGAGACATAATAATAATAATAATAATAATAATAATAATAATAATAATAATAATAATAATATGCCATTTAGCAGATGCTTTTATCCAAAGCGACTTACAGTCATGCGTGCATACATTTTTACGTATGGGTGGTCCCGGGGATCGAACCCACTACCCTAGTGTTACAAGCGCCATGCTCTACCAGCTGAGCTACAGAGGACCACATGAAGACTGGGTTAAACTTAAGACACTGGTTCTCATTGTGTCGTTTGAAACTGGCAATGGATGAATATGTTGGTTGGTTTATCATTCGCTATCTCTACTGCAAAACCCATGCCTCAAAGCATACACACTCCTAACTGTGAATGATGGCTTTAATAGAGATGGTGTTTATCTCCTGTTACCTCAGCCATGGGTTTCTCATAGACATCCTGCTGTTGGGCTTCAGAAGCTTGGGCCGTGAGTGAGTCTCTCTGCAGGGCTCGAAGCACCTCTCCTGGGATGACAAAGCCATACTGGGCCTCCAGCAGAGCCAGATCCATTTTCTTTGCTTTCAGGACCGCGATCACCTCGTCTCTTGCCTGGTGAGATGGACAGATATAATAAAAAAGGAGGGATGAAGAATGATAGAGATGAAGAGATTGGACTCCCAACAGAAGGAGAAAATATTTCCTATACAGCTGTGGTGTTGGCTGTGTGTGTCTCATGCTCTGTGAGGTATGTCTAGGAGTGTTCTACTCCTGGTTTTAGTCACAATAGATTCCTCTGTTAGTCTGAATCATTCTGTCTCCTCTACAGCTCACCTACAGCTGGGCTCAACTCAGTTTGGAACAAATCTCCCAGTGATGACGTCATTGCGTGATGTATGACTAGTTACCACAGCCACAAAGTCATAAACCCTGCCTATTTCTACAATTTCTCTTATTCAAATGTGATTTTAAACCTGACCTTAACTTTAACCACACTGCTAACCTTATTCCTAAGCCTAATCTTACATTTTTGTTCATGAATTTTTACGCTATAGCCATTTTTGACTTTGTGGCTGTTGTATCTAGTGGAAACCATGTATGACTCATATTTGTGCATATAAGGATTTGACCATAGTGTAGTTTTGAACATGGCCAAGTCTGAGCTATATGCTACTAGCCTCGTACGACCATCCTGATCTGGCGACCTTACAGAGTGCAGCGGTCATGACTGTGGATCAGGCTAATAGGCTAACTCCTCTACTATAAACCTAGATCCAGATATACTAGGACACGTCTGTTCTGTCCTGTCCTCACCTGCAACTCTCCCTCCATTATACTGAGGAGGAACACAAGGTCATCCCTGGACAGGTCTTTCCCTCTCTCTCCTCCCATGCTGTCCCTCAGGACGGTGCCCTTGAGGGGGTCTAGGTGGACCACAGAGTTCTGTGAACCATCGCCGTTCCGGGCAGCCATGTTAGGGCTGTTGCTACGGGAACGCATATGTGGAAGCACCTGGGAGGGAGAGTGAGTAAGTGAAGGAGCGAGAGAGATAGTGAGAGATTTAGGGACATGGAGAGGAAGTGAAAGAGAGAGGGAGGGAAAAAGAGGGAGAGAGTAAAGGAAGGTTAGTGCAGTGACCGGGACGGTGATATCAATTGAAGCTGAGCACTCAAGTAGGCCTATTTCTTGTTTGAATGAACTAGTGCCTGTGTGTGTCAGTTACAGCTTTAATGAATGTATTACAGCTAATATAAACACAGGCACCTAGTCATAACCAGCCGCCCAGGGATAAAAATATAGCTTCAGCATGTTTGCTTATGTTTCTTAGGTCATCTGTTGTTTTTCTGTTAGCACATTATTGACTGGGAGGGCTGGCTGTCTGCTTGACCAAGGGCTTAATTACAGACCATATGAGGAGATGAACTGCGCATCTGTCTGTGTGTGCGTGTTCTCAACGCTGACTCCAACAGGTTACAGCAACGGCAAACAATGCTGGTCCAACCGCAGAATATCCTATTAATAAAGTAGGATATTTAGGCCTAATAGTATCTCTGCACATACCAATTTAGAAGGAGAAACATTAAAGCATCTATGAGAGAATCAAATACCCAGCCAAATCATTCTAACTATTTTTAGAATTATAAAGGGTCACACACAGCTGTAGCCAGTAGGTGAGCGCATACACAGAACACACACGTATGTACACAAGATAGGCCTGGTAACACACGCTAACGCACGTACACAAACACAAAAATACACTATAAACAGGACAAGAGTTTCCAGAGTAACACAGCAGTGAAAGATGAGTCCGATGTCCCAACAACACAAGAATGGGGGAGTAGGGATTTAGGCTACAGCTGGATGTTGTCATCAAAACAGCCCATCTTTCTAAACAGGACAAACACAGCTAGTGCAGCAGGAACAAACAGAATGCCTACAATAAGCTCTTTGGAAAGAGGAAGCCAAAGTAGACAGATTACTAAAGGTGGTTTTGTGTGTGCGTGTGTGGTGTGTCAAATCAAAGTTTATTGGTCGCATACACAGTTTAGCAGATGTTATAGCAGGTGCAGCGAAATGTTTATGTTACTAGCTCCTAACAATGCAGTAAAATGTCAAACAAGTACACAAATAATTAAAATGTAAAAAAGTACAGCGAAAAACAAGTTGTGACGAATCCAAGTGTGTGTTTGTCAGAGCTGTCTGTCTAAGTTGTTATCCTCTCCTTATCAATTACTAAGACAGATGGAGATATCTGGACTTCCTTTCCTCTGGCCTCCCTCTCTCCACTCGTTTACTGGGATGGAAGGAATGATAAAGTAAGCCTTTAATGAGATCCCATTCTAACGCCAAGTACTTCCAATCTAGGACTCACAGCCGCAAACGCCAGTCCATAACGCTCACACACATAGGGCTGTGTCGGTAATTGGATAACCATGACATTGACGGTTTTGGATGAAGACCATCATGAAAATAAAATCAGTCAAAACTGTAGATTTTTTTGTGAAACTGTTGTTTTATCAATGTTATTTTTATGTAGATATACTTTACCCAAAGCGGGAGTGTTAACTATTGATTATATGATATTGTTTTGCTAACTTAGTCCTTCTATTAAACTGTATAGATCTTTTGATCAGCAAATCCGCTATATGCGCAGATAGGAGAATCTTTGAAGGTCAATTCAGTTCATTGGAGGGGGTGGGATGAAAAGTGTGGCCCGGCGGTACCTATAGCACCTATTAGAGAACCATTATTTTATGTCCGATGCCAATACCAATTTTTTTGGGGGGGTCAAGGATGCCGATATTCAATATAATTAAGTTAGAAAATGTTGATGACATTTCCCAGAGACAGCCATATATGCATTAATGCATACATTTTAAAATCAAACAATACATTTTCCTTTGGTATAAAACAATCTAACTACATAACATAATGGTAATCATTTTTTGAACTGTAAATCTCTTGATAAACTGGGTAAATCAAGATGGCATAGGCATACTCACAATACAGGTGAATGCATATTCAAGTGTGTGCATACATTGTGTTATTAAGCTTGTTTTGGCTGATCAGTGGAGTCTATGGTGTTAAAGATTACAGTCTGTTTGCCTTCCATTTGGGACTTACATTAGCCTACTGATCAACAACATTTGAATAGAAGCATCACTCCAGCATGTCATGCCTGTATGGAAGGACATCATACAGGCACTGCTGTTAGTTTGAGAATATAAAAGAACATCTATTCAATGCAAATGGGTCCAACATAACGTCATGATTTGTGACCACAGAGGCTTATGAAAGTTGTATTTTTAGTCATTTTCAGATAGTTCAGCTATCTGAAATGGGCAGATTGTAACTTGATCCTACTGCTACAATTGGATAGAGCAAGGCTGTAACTCCACTCCCTCTCACATCTCTCTCCATCGCTCATATCACTTGCTGCTGTTTACTGATACTATGTTAACTAGCTCAATTGCGATGACGTTTGCTACCAAGCCATAAATGTACATAATATCTAACAAGGAGAGCGAGGGTAGGAAAACAGATTAAATGACGATGCACGTTCTGTTTTACTGAGAACATGTACACACGCTGATCTACAGCGACAACACACACGCACGCTGATCTACAGGTAACGTAGGTAACTAAACCTATTGCCAACTTTTTATTTAGGCATTTTAAAACACTTCCTTCTTTGCTTATTACGACAGTCATCTAATCCGACTATCAACTGTCAATTTACGGATACGATTGTGGCTGGTCAGATCAGCACAGCAGTAAATAGCTAACGTTACACCGCAAGACAGAAGGCCCGTTGCCGAAAATAGTAGCTAGCTAGCATAGTAGCATACAGTGAGGGGGAAAAAAGTATTTGATCCCCTGCTGATTTTGTATGTTTGCCCACTGACAAAGACATGATCCGTCTATAATTTAAATGGTAGGTTTATTTGAACAGTGAGAGACAGAATAACAACAAAAAAATCCAGAAAAACGCATGTCAAAAATGTTATAAATTGATTTGCATTTTAATGAGGGAAATAAGTATTTGACCCCTCTGCAAAACATGACTTAGTACTTGGTGGCAAAACCCTTGTTGGCAATCACAGAGGTCAGACGTTTCTTGTAGTTGGTCATCAGGTTTGCACACATCTCAGGAGGGATTTTGTCCCACTCCTCTTTGCATATCTTCTCCAAGTCATTAAGGTTTCGAGGCTGATGTTTGGCAACTCGAACCTTCAGCTCCCTCCACAGATTTTCTATGGGATTAAGGTCTGGAGACTGGCTAGGCCACTCCAGGACCTTAATGTGCTTCTTCTTGAGCCACTCCTTTGTTGCCTTGGCCGTGTGTTTTGGGTCATTGTCATGCTGGAATACCCATCCACGACCCATTTTCAATGCCCTGGCTGAGGGAACGAGGTTCTCACACAAGATTTGACGGTACATGGCCCCATCCATCGTCCCTTTGATGCGGTGAAGTTGTCCTGTCCCCTTAGCAGAAAAACACCCCCAAAGCATAATGTTTCCACCTCCATGTTTGACGGTGGGGATGGTGTTCTTGGGGTCATAGGCAGCATTCCTCCTCCTCCAAACATGGCGAGTTGAGTTGATGCCAAAGAGCTCCATTTTGGTCTCATCTGACCACAACACTTTCACCCAGTTCTCCTCTGAATCATTCAGATGTTCATTGGCAAACTTCAGCCGGCCCTGTATATGTGCTTTCTTGAGCAGGGGGAATTTGCGGGCGCTGCAGGATTTCAGTCCTTCACGGCGTAGTGTGTTACCAATTGTTTTCTTGGTGACTATGGTCCCAGCTGCCTTGAGATCATTGACAAGATCCTCCCGTGTAGTTCTGGGCTGATTCCTCACCGTTCTCATGATCATTGCAACTCCACGAGGTGAGATGTTGCATGGAGCCCCAGGCCGAGGGAGATTGACAGTTCTTTTGTGTTTCTTCCATTTGCGAATAATCGCACCAACTGTTGTCATCTTCTCACCAAGCTGCTTGGCGATGGTCTTGTAGCCCATTCCAGCCTTGTGTAGGTCTACAATCTTGTCCCTGACATCCTTGGAGAGCTCTTTGGTCTTGGCCATGGTGGAGAGTTTGGAATCTGATTGATTGATTGATTGCTTCTGTGGACAGGTGTCTTTTATACAGGTAACAAGATGAGATTAGGAGCACTCCCTTTAAGAGTGTGCTCCTAATCTCAGCTCATTACCTGTATAAAAGACACCTGGGAGCCAGAAATCTTTCTGATTGAGAGGGGTTCAAATACTTATTTCCCTCATTAAAATGCAAATCAATTTATAACATTTTTGACATGCATTTTTCTGGATTTTTTTGTTGTTATTCTGTCTCTCACTGTTCAAATAAACCTACCATTAAAATTATAGACTGATAATTTATTTGTCAGTGGGCAAACGTACAAAATCAGCAGGGGATCAAATACTTTTTTCCCTCACTGTATATAATGAGCAAAAATATAAACGCAACATGCAACAATTTCAAAGATTTTACTGAGTTACAGTTCATATAAGGAAATTGGTCAATTTAAATAAATTCATTAGGCCCTAATCTATGGATTTCACATGACTGGGAATACAGATATTGTTGGCAAACTTAATTGAGCAAACAGTATTATTGGCCCCAGCAGAGCATTGGCCATATCCCCGGCGAGTGTGCATATTTACTGTCTTTATCATTGGGTCAGTGCCACTTGATAGTCGTATAAAAAAATATTCTGCTAATCTCTCCAGTCACACAAAGTGTAGTAGAATTACATAAAATGTTTTTATAAAAGGCCACATTTTTCCCGTGCAAAGGAAGAAACATACACTATCTGATATAGCCTAGCCTACTCCACCATCTGCTGCATTATTTGCGAATAGTGATTGAGTTATGTTTATTAGTCTAAATTATGACTTTCCAATTTACTAATCACATTAGGAATAATCAGCTATTTTACATAAGTTTGCAAATGTGATGATGCATGGAATCATGGCTACCCGGACTATTTGCACTGCCCCCCCACCCCCACCCCATCTTTTTACGCTGCTGCTACTCTGTTAATTATTTATGCATAGTCACTTTAACTCTACCCACATGTACATATTACCTCAACTAGCCGGTGCCCCCGCACATTGACTCTGCCCCAGTACCCCCCTGTATATAGCCTCCCTACTGTTATTTTATTTTACTTCTGCTCATTTTTTTCTCAACACTTTTTTGTTGTTTTATTTGACCTTTTTATAAAAAAATAAATGCACTGTTGGTTAAGGGCTGTAAGTAAGCATTTCACTGTAATGTCTACACCTGTTGTATTCGGCGCACGTGGCCAATAAAATTTGATTTGATGCTTTACAGTTTTTATGGTGAAAATTTGCTTCCCCAAACTTGAGACTCGCATGCTGCCTATGAGCAAGACAGTTAGGCCTAAATGCACTAATGTTGTTCCTTTGCTAATGTTGTGCCCCCCCCCCCCCATCGGCTGTCGCTTATGTCGATGACACGCCAATCACCGACACCTGAAATTCCATGACCGTCACAGCTCTACACACACTCCATCTGTTACCACAGGACTGGGCTGAGTGAACAGGTACCATCTAGGAGGACACAAGCAACCATCACACACTCCATCTGTTACCACAGGAGTGGGCTGAGTGAACAGGTACCATCTAGGAGGACACAAGCAACCATCACACACTCCATCTGTTACCACAGGAGTGGGCTGAGTGAACAGGTGCCATCTAGGAGGACACAAGCAACCATCACACACTCCATCTGTTACCACAGGAGTGGGCTGAGTGAACAGGTACCATCTAGGAGGACACAAGCAACCATCACACACTCCATCTGTTACCACAGGAGTGGGCTGAGTGGACAGGTGCCATCTAGGAGGACACAAGCAACCATCACACACTCCATCTGTTACCACAGGAGTGGGCTGAGTGAACAGGTGCCATCTAGGAGGACACAAGCAACCATCACACACTCCATCTGTTACCACAGGAGTGGGCTGAGTGAACAGGTACCATCTAGGAGGACACAAGCAACCATCACACACTCCATCTGTTACCACAGGAGTGGGCTGAGTGAACAGGTACCATCTAGGAGGACACAAGCAACCATCACACACTCCATCTGTTACCACAGGAGTGGGCTGAGTGAACAGGTGCCATCTAGGAGGACACAAGCAACCATCACACACTCCATCTGTTACCACAGGAGTGGGCTGAGTGAACAGGTGCCATCTAGGAGGACACAAGCAACCATCACACACTCCATCTGTTACCACAGGAGTGGGCTGAGTGGACAGGTACCATCTAGGAGGACACAAGCAACCATCACACACTCCATCTGTTACCACAGGAGTGGGCTGAGTGAACAGGTGCCATCTAGGAGGACACAAGCAACCATCACACACTCCATCTGTTACCACA